CTCCATGTGACGGCGAGGTGACAGCATGTCCCTGTTGTTGCAGGAGAGGCTTTGTGCAGCTTCACCATTCCCTCTGGCTTTGGCTGTTATCGCACCAGCAGAGTGTGCTGGGAAAAGGAAAACATGCCTTGTCTGTTCTCTCGGTGTTGGCCTTTTCAGAAAGTCGACATTTTGAAAGGATTTACCATCCCACGGCTGGTTTATTTGGCAGGCCGTGTGGTGCGCAGGCTGCATAACTCCAAGCCCTTGTCTTCACTGTTGGAGCTGCTGTCAGGTCTCACCTCCCGCCAGTGCCCGCGGTGCCATCCTCTGCCCCGGGGACGGCAGCTGGCGGTTACCTGGCTGCAGGACTAATCCCTCATGTGCACGCCCTGCAGCTGCACTGAATTTCCCACTCCCATGGCAACGTCATAAAATCAATAGTTTGTCAAGAGGTTATTGAAGGTGAATTTAGAAAGTTATAGATTGTTGCAGGAGGGGGAGAAGAGAAAATCCTGGCTGTTTGGGATGCAAATGCAGCACAATGACTGCTGTGACGATAATAACTGGATTGAAGGTAACAGGGACGTTCCCCACAGGAAGCTCATCACTGCATTGCAATTAAGAGCCAATGGTTGACCCACAAGAGAATTATTAATGGGGGGTCAGAGGGAATCCCAGGATAAGACCCATGGGTGTTGTCAGGCTGAGAGCGGGACCCTCTCGCGTATGGTCCAGTTCTGCCCCAGGGTGCAAGGTGCCGGGATCAAAACGCATCAAGTGTGTGACCCCCAGGCTGAGGAGGCTCAAGAGGGAGAAGGGTCCATGTTCCATGAGCCACTCCCACGGGAGCACCACGATGAGCCCCGACAGCCTGACCAAAGGCTTGCCAAGGGTCTGGGACACGCGTGGCCGATACAACCATCGGGTACAGCGTTACCTAATTATGTTGTAGATATTGCACGTGTTTTTGTGAGCCACACAGAGTTATTATATAATAAAATATTTTCACAGTAAATAAGCTATATCTGTGGGTTGAGATGACTTGAAGTCTGTTGGAAGGGAGGGAGGAAGGATAATAGGTACAAGAAGGGAACTCTATAGCCATGACACCTCCTGTCACCCGGCCTGGCGTGGGCGGACGGGCTGCCTGAACTGCCCTGGGAAAGGGTGGTGTAAACGGTGTGTGTTCAGTAAACAGCTGACAGCAGTGGTGGATCCTGAGGCACCAGCACGTTGTAGAAGTATAAACACTTGTCTGAAAACCTAAACTAGTATGTTATTTGTGAGTAGCATAGCTCCATCTAGCATTCATGAAAACTGATGCTTCTCTAAAGCTTAATTCATTACTACTCTGTTAAGTGTTAAAAACTGTTCTGTCTGTTAACAGCCACAACCATCGGGAAACCAAGTGTTCTTTTACAGTCAGAGCTTATATGTGCAGCTCTTCCCCTCCTGCATTCAGACCATTCTGCACTCAGCAGATGCCTGCCTTCTCACAGGGCACATCCAGACACCAACCTCCCCTTCTCCTGGGCAGGGGTCAGTCCTGTCCCAATACTGATAGATTATTTTTATTTTCCCTATCAAAATTGCTTTATGAACCCACGTAAAAAAAATTATTTATCTTCAGCCCCTTGTGGATGAACAGCCCATTGATGAAAAAGTATTTGCTGTCGGTCTCAGGGCTGTAAAGCTTTTCCAAGAAGCAGTGTTGCTTACTGGGTAGAGCACAGGCGAGGAGATAAAGGAGGGCAAAACTGGGTCGACCCCAGTTTTGCAGCCAAATTGACCCTGGATTCGACCAAAGCCGCTTCACCCTTTCCTGTTTTGTTCACAGAGCAGCGGTTTTAACACAGCATGCTGTTGGAGTGTCATGACTAATCACTCGCAAACACCTGGAGAGCCTAAGCCACCCTGCGTTCCAATGCCCTCCAGGTTTTTTAAAGGCCTTTGCAAATTTCAAAATACTGGATGTCGGGTGCTAAAATCCCTGTTACCGCGCTGGCGAGGGGCTGCCTTTGCTCACACACTGTGCTCTACAGCCCGGCGCCTCAAAGGGCTGTGTGCCCGCTTCGGAGTCCGGTGGTGGCTGCAGGATGGAGGATCACTGCACCTGGCAAACCTGAGGACAGGAATTAACACACTGGGCAATGGAAGTGTCTGCTGGAAAGTGTTTCACCACTCCCTCGGGGGAGCGCAGCCGCGTGGAGACACTCAGCCTGGCAGTTGTCACTGCGATCATGAAACGGAGCAGCAGAAGTTGGCATGAGCGCTGCTGCGGGTCAGCAGAGCTGAGCTCCTGGCACAGCTCTCCAAGAATGAGTAAAGCCGGGCAATTGTCACGAAGAATTAAATTTGCTGCAATGAGTCCTTCCCTCCAAATGTTCGGGAGAGCGAATCTCGCTTTGCGAGGCCAAGGGAAAGCCGATATCAAAGTGTGAACAGGGATTCACGCTGGAGCCTGAGCCTGCCCGGGGTCTCTGCGGGTCTGGGTGCGAGCGCTGTGGGACGGGCAGCACGTTTGTGGGTAACTGGTCCCCAGGTCACACTGGGGAGGCAGCCGACCAGAGAGACAGGTTCACCCCAAATCCAGGCCTTTCTGCTTTTTGTGGTGACAAAACACCTGGACGTGCTGTTGGGAGCAAAGCATAAAGCCTTCTCAGATAGTTATAGACAAGGTTACTTTTTTAATTGAATAAACAGCATCTGCGATCTGTTAGTCCTTTAAGAAGAGCTAGACAGAGCTGTGTGAGGGAATAAAGGCCTGTTCAAGTGCTCTGGTTCTCAGCTCAAGGGCCACCACCACTTCAGAAGCACTTGATAACGCTTTGCTTCCCGAGCTGAAAAGCGTGAGTGAAACCTGACGCAGAGCAAATTGCCGGGTGCGGGGGCTGCTCCCAACGACCAGGCACTGGGAGCCTCCGTGGCTGCGTCGCTGCTGAGAGGCATCGGCTGGAGCTGAACGATGATTGACTGGACTCGACACCACCGAGCCGAGGGGTGCGATGACATGTCTGAGGGACGGGATGCCACCCGGGGGGACCCGGAGAGGGCGGAGAATTGGGTCCATGTGAACCTCATGGGGCTCAGTGAGGTCAAGCGCAGGGTCCTGCTGGCCAGGCTTGACAGGGCTTTGAGCAACTTGGTCTAGTTAAAGGTGTCCCTGCCCATGGCAGGACCTTGGACTAGATGGCCTTTCAATGTCCCTCCCAGCCCAAACTATTCTATGATTGATCAAATGGTGAGATCTGGTGCCGGATGTAGCTGTGTGTTCTGCCAATTGTGTTGGCAGCTCGTTAATGCGCGCTCTGAGGAAAGCGCTGGCTGCGGGTCCCCAAGGGACAGAAGGGTCCTCTGGCAGGGAGGCTGTCCTGGTTTCAGCTGGGACAGAGTGAATTTTCTTCCTAGTGCCTGCTGTGTTTTGGATTTAGTATGAGAATAATGTTGACAACACATACTGTTTTCGTTGTTACTTAGTAATGTTTATATTAAGTCAAGGATGCTTCCAGCTTCCCACAGCAGCTGAGGGGGAGCACGGACAGGACAAGCCACCCAGAGAAATACTCCCATATTCCCCCTGCCACCCCCACACTCAGCGCACGAAGTGGGGCTGGCTGGGGTCAGGGACCCGTCATCACTGGTCGGGACGGGCTGTGATGGATCCATCACAGAATTGTTGGAGTTGGAAGGGACCTTCTAGAGATCATCCAGTCCAACTGATTGCCCAGAGCACATCACTAAGGAGCATCCATTGGGGCTTGAAGATCTCCAGAGAAGGGGACTCCACACCCTCCCTGGGCAGCCTCTGCCAGGGCTCTGGCACCCTCACCCAAAAGAAGTTTTTCCCTATCTTTGAGTGGAACTTCCCACGTTCCAGCTTGTGCCTGTTGCCCCTCGTCCTGTCCCTGGGAACCACTGAGAAGAGTCTGGCTCCATCCTCCCTCAGCCCACCCTTTGTTGGGGGGTGAGCAAGTGTGTTTGCATCACTTTTTAGATTCTTTTACCATTATTTTTTTTCTCTCTTTTCTGTTACTATTCCATTAAACTGTCTGTATCTCAACCCACCGGTTTTTTCCCTCCGTGTTCTCCCTGCCCTACCGGGGGCTGCCCGGTCCCGGCCCAGCCGGGGTTCTTTGGCCTTGCCTCCTTCGGGCGGGATGGCGGACCCCCTGCCCTTACCGCTCCCGCCCCGACTCCCCGCCGCCGCCACGTGAGATCCGGTGACTTTTTATCAACAAGTTGCTTTATCAACCAGACTCGGGCGGCGGGAGAGGCCTCTAGGGGCGCCGCGGTGGCCTCCGCCCCGGGCCCCGCCGCCACCGGCGCCCCCTGACCCCTGCCCCGCCCTCGCGGCGCCGCAGCCAATGAGCGGCCGCCGCCGCATCCGGGGCTTCCACAGTCCCCCCGCCCGCCGCTCGCGCTCGGCCATGGCGGAGGGGAGTGAGCCGCCGCCGGGCCTGGGGCCTCCTCGCCTCCCCCGGCCGGGCCGGGGCACCGGGACCCCCTCCTCCCCCGACCCCCGGCAGCCTCCGGCCGTGGGGTGGACGGGGCGGGGGCACCGGGGCCGAGGGAGCTGGACGGGGGGCGGCGGCCCGGCGGCGGGCAGGGGAAGGGCCCGGCGGGGGGCAGCGGCCGGGCCCGGGGAGCGGCGCCGGCTCTGTCCTTCCGCCAGCGCCCAGGAGGCAGCAGCGGGGTTTCCCGAGGCCGGGCCTCCGGGAGAGGGGCCCCGGTGGGCGCTTAAAGGGACTTTGGGCGGGGGGGCGGCCGCGGTGCCTGGGCCCATGGCCCGGCGGGGGACGGTTCCACCGCGGGGCAGCGAGGGTCCGTAGGGCTGGCGGGAAGGGACCGGGAGCGAAGTGGGAGCCCCCGAGGCTTTGGCACAGCAGGGTCTGACGGCGTCTGGGGAGCCGGGGTCAGAGGGTGCGGAGCTGCTGGACAAGGGCTTGCAAAGGGGGGGGTGAGCGGCAGGGCCTGAGCAGCGGGAGAACTGGGAGGTGGGGAGAGCGGGAATGGCAGAGGGCTGGGGAAGGGGACAGGAACGGCTGGGCTGGGTAACTGGGACCAGGAGAACTGCCCTGCTAAGAGGGCGAGCGGGAAAAGGGGCTTGTGCTCTGAATCTGGGTGAGGATGCCCCTGCTGCCTCTCCCCCATTGCGACGCTGTGTTTGTTGTTGTGCGTTGTGCCGAAACGTTACTGCCGTCGCTCCACCACACTTACGGTTGGTGATGCCATTACCTGTTGGGTCTTGACACATCCTTGAAATATCCCTGTCCTGTCATAACGGTTGTCGTGGCGCATCCGCCTTCGTTTCTGTCATGAGATCCTTGTGGTGACCACGATGTGGGAGAAGGATGCTGGGAAGACATTGAGGTAGCTGGCTGCTCTGTTGCAGGATCTCAGAACACCATTAGCTGAGACAACTTCAGTTCGACAGCATGGGTTCGTTTTCAGGGTATTTCAGCATTTTGCGTGAGGACAGTGCTGTCTGGCCTGTCTGCTGTCCCATCCAGAGTGGCTTGGTCTTGGCTGCCACCTTCGGTGGATCACAAAGGGTGCTGCGTTCCTCTGTGCCACCACATTACTTCTGCACGTTGTTGGGCTGACGTGACACACTGAAGTGCTACCTTGGCACACTGCACTGCGTTGCTGTTGTGCATGCACTCTGTCATGGGTAAATCTAGGAGTTGTCACTGTCTTGCTGAAGAGGTTTGCCATCCAGAGGGACCTGGACAGGCTGGAGTGTGGGCCCAGGCAAAACTCACGGAGTTCAGCAAGGCCGAGTGAGGGGCACACCTGGGTCGGGGAAATCCCAAGCACAAATACAGGCTGGACAGAGAATGGATCGAGAGCCGTTCCCAGTTGGAACTAGATGATCTTGAAGGTCCCTTCCAACCCAAACCGTTCTATGATTCCATGAACTGCAGTGTCTCTGCTGAGACATTCCAATGGCATGTGATTTGGGCACTGATTGTCCTGAGCAGAGCAGCAGGTTACCTGTGGCATTGACAATCCATGTAACCAGGAATATTCTGTCATCATTTACCTATTTAAGCCAGACCTGCCTTTCTTCCCTTTTCATTTGACTTTGACTCATTTCCATGGTCTTCTGGATTTGAAATGATCTGAGGGATCATTCAGTTTCACACGCGTTTAAATGTGGGTGTGGAATGGGCCCTTTGCTTTTTCTGTCACTTGTTTCTCTTCTCAGCCCAAGCCAGGCAGTGGGAGTTGCTTTATGGTGACTCCAGCTCACAGCGGTTCCGCTTGCTCTAATGCTACATTATTGCTTTGGGGAAATAAACTCACGATTAGTTACTGAATTGCCATCCTGTCCTACTGACTATTACTCTTCATTTCAGCACCTGGTCATTAATATAAGATCTCACCATTCCTGAAGTATTCTTGACATCCTTTCAAGCCAGCCCATCCACTGCTAACAGTTTCAGTCTTTGTTTTCCCAATCCTTTGCATGCAGCTCCTTATTGATCCCCATGCGAAAGAGGAGCACTCAATACACAGATTATTGTCTCAGGAAGGAGAGTTCTGCAGATCGCTCAAGACTGGTGGGAGCAAGTGCAGACCTCGCCCTTATCCTTTCCATGAAACCAGGGTTGTTGGCTTGGAAGGATTTATCCCAGAGGGTTTTGTGCTTGGTCACATTCCAGAGAGGCACAACAAAAGGGCATTTGACACTTTCCTGAGTTCCAAAGCAGTTTCCCAGTAGGACCATCCTCCGAATGGAGGCTGTCCGAATCCTTTCTGTCCCCTTCTGCTTTCATTATCCCAGAAACTCCTCCCTTTTCTTTTACTGTGTACAGTCACTGGGCTCTGCCAGCAGCCAGTGGTCTCCAGTGGGGTTATCTTGCTGCTAATAATGAGACCCTCAGGGATGGTGAATTGCAGCGCAGCGTGTGCTCACTTGACTGGAGGCATCCTCTTTTCACCAGTGAAAAGTAGAGGAGGGAGCAAGAATTCCACAGGTGTTTCACAGATCCTTTCCCTTCCTCCCTGCCTGTCCTTCTCTCATATGGCAATACCTTCTGCTGCCTTCCAGGCCAACCATTATTTTAGCAGTAATTATACTTGGAAAAAAGCTGCCTCTCTAGTCATTATGGAAAGTGCAATATATGTGTCAATACCTGAAGAGACTAACTTGGAACCCAAAGTCTGGGGTAGCATTTCTGCTGTATGCTTTGCTCTGTTGTTAGAGGATGAATTTCGATCTGAAGCTGTACCACATTTCCTTAAGTAACTCTTAAGAACCCCATACTGAAGCATTGTAGATGTCCTGGATCCCACAGAGTAAGTGGGGAGTGATGGTGCACGGCTGAGGTTATTAATGGCTGAGGATCATGAAGAGGTGTCGTTGGTGACTCGGGGACTGACGCTGATTTTCTTCCGCAGTCGGATGCTCTCACTCACCCAAAGGCATTGGTTAATTACCTGCTTGCTCCCTACCCCGGCTGAACTTGATGAGCAGCATTTCCATGTGCAGCAGCCCCCAGAGCAGCAGATGTTTGGGGTTGTTTTCCAGGCCCCAGCCCGTTCTGCTGCCTGAACTTCTGACCCAGCACTGAATGCCAGAACGCAGGTGCCTGTTCTTGGTGTCTCCCCGTCCCACCTTTCCTGTGCCACTTGCAGTCCTACCAGCCTCCTTCACTGCTTGCCCAGCTCTAGATTTCGTCGCTGCTCCCCACTCTGAGCCTGCTGGGTGCAGGGGGGTGTAGGGAGAACCAGCGTCTGGTGGCCGCTGCTTCCGATTGCCGCTCCAGAGAGTGGGTTGGCTCATAAAGGCACTGTTCAAACAGCAGGATGTGTGTACTTAGAATAATTGCTTAGGGTCAAAATCCTTCTTTTAGGTGAAATTGTAAGCCATAAGGATCTGAGGTCTTAAACTGGTGAGAGGATAAATAATTAGTGGAGTGCTGAAGATAAAAAAGATCAAATGGAAACACCGCCATATGCAGTTAGAGACCGAGGGGAAGGTGATGAACCCGGAGGAGAGGAGGCCGGGAAGAGCTGCTAAATACACTTGACTGGAGCTCTTTTTGCATAGTGCAGTTTCTAATGCGACCCTGCGTGGGGTTTGTTAACTTTTGCTTTGAAATTAAATTAATTGCATTTGCTGGTGGGGTTAAGTGGCTGGAGGCGTGTTACATTTTTAAGAAGAGATGTCTCAGCCATATTTTTCTCTTTTCTTGAAGGCCTCGGTTGGCAGGCAGAGTCCGAGGGTGGTGCCATACCCAGCCCACAGTCTATGTCCTGGAGAGCCTGGCCTTCAGAGTGCAGCAGGTAGCCACAGTTTCAATATGCTTCTGTCTGTTGGTCTGGTTTCCTGAGGAAACAAGGCTCCTGTGATCAGCCTGTCTGTTCTGTTCCCTTCTCCTTCCAATGTCTTCTGAACCTGTTGGTTGATTCCCATGCCATTTGACACGGAAGGAAAGTCTTAAAGATGCCAAAGCTCCTACAAGTGTCCATTTGCCCGTTCTTGCAATAAGAGGTAATTATCCTAAAAATGCCTCGGGTGAAGGAAGGGCTGCAGTGTGCATTCACATGTTATGACATGAGTGAATCGAGTCAGAAGGGACACACGAATACTCAGAAAAACTTCAGATTCAGCTTTCAGTCAGTTGTGGGACTTGAACGTGCAGAGAACCAGGCTTTGCAACTTAGCGGTCATGGAGTGACTTCTTTCAGTTGTTTTCCCTGGCCCCTCTCACTCCTTCCCACTCATCCCTTCCCCTGGCTCACCACGGCTGCACATCACGGGGGGCGTCCCAAGAGTTCTTGTGTCTGAGGATCTGGTCCAGGGTGGTGCTGATATCCCACCTTCTTCTCATCCCTGCAGTTGTGTCAATGGGCTCAGCCGACCATCGACTGAACCTGGCAGAGATACTTTCCCAGAACTATGGTGTACGGGAAGAAAGGGAAGATGATGATGATAGCCAGGAGAAGCAGAAATCTTTAGAAGAGCTGGAGAAGAGTATCAGTGCCTCTCAGGTAAGGGCGGCAAGGGAGGGGAAAGGAAATTAAGTGCTGGGTTCTCTTGTTTGCTTTGATAGTTTGGGTAACAATGGCCGTTGTGAGAAGCTCTGACTTGCTCAGCTGGCAGTGTGCTGGGGTTAGGTCCACCCATCAACGAGCCTTACGTTTGAATTCAGATGGGAAGGAATTGGTTGACAACAGGTAACAGCGGCAAATCTTGGAGTCCTCCTCTGCCAAGTGACCTCTCTGATGAGGTGGTCCTTGCTCACGTTGCTGAAGAACCATCAGCTGCTGAGTGTGTGTCCATTTGACAGTGGAGGAGTGCCAAAGATGAGGTCATGTGGTCCTGCTGTGGGTGGTCCCACAAAGGCCTTGTTGGTGACAGAGACTCTTCAGGTCCAGCACAAGACCAGTAGGGATTTGCTCCTTCCCTTCCTCGGTATAAATACAGTTCTGCTTCCTGGCATCTGCTCACCAGCATGAAACCTCGTATAAAAAATAAGAATATTTTAAAAATGCCCTGGACTATATTGCTTTGGGATGAAAGTTCCTGGCTTCTCCATACCTTTGAGAAGGTGACGGGGGGGTCTTGATAGACTGTGCCTCCCTTACACAGCATTACCCAGGGCAGCTCAGAGCCCCCAGAGGAGCAGAGCTGCTGTGACTGCCTCTGCCTATCTCTGTGTTCACTGCAGCCGGTGTTGTGCTCGGTGATTGTTCCATTCCTGATGAAGCTTTGTCCTCCTCTTGCTCAGAGCAGTGAAATGCCATTTGAGGAGCTGCTTGCACTTTATGGCTATGAGGCGTCGGATCCCATCTCGGAGCAGGACAGTGAGAGCAATGACATTTCTCCAAACCTCCCGGATATGACTCTGGATAAGGTAAGAGCAGCTCTGTGCTTGGGCATGTGCCGTTGACCTCTGCTGTGGGTTACTCTTGTGGAGCTTGAGATATCAGGTGGCTCTTTTCAGGTGGGATTTGATGCTGGGGGAAGGGGCCTGTCTAGTTCTTGTGTCCCCTGTGGGGAACAGAAGGTGCAGAAATGTGGATACAAAGACCTTAGAGGGGACCAGAGAAAGGATATCTGTTTTTAAAAGAACACTGTAAAAGCCCTTTATGGATTTTGGGTTATGGGTCTTTGCAGGTAGATGTGGATCTGTGGAGAGTCAGGGAAGGTTTGTATCATCCCAGGTGAAGCTGTGGCTCCTTCTGTTCTAGCTGAAGTCTTTAGAAAGCTTTTTTTTTTAACCTTCCAGAGTCTTTAAGATATTTGCTCTGAGCAGAGCTCTACAGAACGGGCCACTTGCTCCTTTTCTGTAGGAGCCACTCTTGGACCTTGTAGAAATGCTTCTAGGGAAGATAACCTGGGGGTGGTGGGGAGTGTGAGAGGGAATCTGGCTTTGGAGATATATGGGAGGGTGAGGAGATCTGTGGATGTGGCCACCTTTGGCCTGAAATGCTTTCCTGTAGGCCTTTTTTTTTTAATTTAAAAATATTTTTCACTTTCTTGTTGTTGTTAAAAGGAGCAAATAGCGAAGGATTTGCTTTCAGGGGAAGAAGAGGAGGAGACACAGTCTTCAGCTGATGATCTGACTCCATCCGTCACATCCCACGATGCGTCAGACCTATTCCCAAACCAGCCTGGCTGTATGTGGTGCTAATTTCTAAGTCATTCTTTATTAGTGTGCAGGGTAGGGCAAGAATGTTTTTCTTTATTTTGTCACTTAGTTTCCTGACATCAGTTTTTCCACTTTCCTTCTGGGGGCTGCAAGTAAACCTGGTGTTACTGAGCAGTGGTTAGGACATGATGGAGCACAGATGAGCAGTGGGATGAGGGAGAATTGTCTTTAGCTGCAACTCATAACACTGAGAAAGTGAGAATTTTTTTGCTACCTGCTGTAATGGCAGTCTGGAAGATCAGTACCTGATCTGACATCTCTGGAAGTAAATAAATTCAGTAGTACTAGTGGTGTGATGTATTCTGGCAGTTCCTAAATGTTCGGATACGTGGGAAGCCAAAGTGTGTGACAGACGCAGCATGGAGTGATGTTACTCCTGCTGGCCTGCAGAACGAAGCAGTGGGAGTGTACAAATTCTTTTATTTAAAAGGAGAAAAATAAAATATGGATAAGCTGTCACTGAGGACCATTCTGAAAGTGACTTTAGGACAAAAAATGAAGGGAAGGAGAGGGAACATAGAGCAGTAGAAAAAAAACATCTCATAACTAGAGATCTTTTCCTTTCCCACAAAGCAAACAACTTCCTTGCTGATGAAGACAAAGAGCCCTGTTCATCTCCATGTGCCTCCTCCATGGCTGAGGATTCAGAGGAGGATTCCATCCCATCCAACGAGTGTAAGAAGGTAAACGATCCGAGCGCATTGGGAAGGGGAGCTAGTGCAGTGTGCCCGAGTCTGAGGAAAGCACAACACCAAAGCACTGTGATACTTCCTCAAGAAATTTTCCTTCTTTTATTTTCTTTTGCTCAGTGCCTTGCGTTTTGTGGGAAGGTGGTGGAAATCGGTTACAGGAGGCTTTTTTAATAGGATCTTGATTCTGTATCTGAAATGATCTTCTGCTTCAGATACAGAAAATGCTGTTATGGCTTGGTAAATTAAAGCTGCAGCCTTTAGCCCTATAAAGGTGAAATGCTGTGTGGTATTCCCAGCAGGATTTGCTGGGAAGAAACCATTGCATAAAAAAGAGGAGCAGGCTTCCAAATTCATCCTGTTTGTGAAGGTTGCAGGAGAGGTTCTGCATTCCTTTATCGCCAGCCTTAGCTGTTTGCCATATATCTTTAACATAAAAACTATGTAAATGCCTAAGATCCCTAAAGTATCGTCTGGCTGGTAGTAACTCTTTTTAGTTACCCTATAAAATAGTCAGGGTTCCCTAGAAGCAATAGTGACAGCAGGGATTACCGATCTATAAATCAGCCCCGTGGTGTCACAGTCCCTGAATCATGAATTACACCTCAGTGCCTGCGTGGAGCATTTTCCATTTCAATTTACCACTGCTCTGTGGTGATGTTTCAGGAGATCATGGTTGGACCTCAGTACCAAGCCAGTGTTCCCATCCTCCACTTAAGCTGGCACGGTGAGAAAGGTAAGGCTTGATGGGTCCTGTTTGGGTGTGGGGCTACCAGCCCGGGCGTCTGGGGTGGCCCTGCCTCACCAGTTCAGCTCTGTCTCTCTGGGCTTGGCACCTCTCGGTGTGGACACCAACGTTCACAGCTACCCCCCAGCAGGCTTTAAACAAGCCTGTTCGAACATGCATTTCTCAAAAGCAGCAGAGTTCTCTGATTAGCTTATTTCAGTGCTTTTTCTGTTAGCCTACGAGAATGAAGATCAGCTGCTTTGGGACCCAAACATACTCCCTGAGAGAGAGGTTGAGGAGTTCCTGTACCGCGCAGTGAAGAGGCGCTGGGAGGAGCTCTCTGTCAGCAGCCTGCCGGAGGGAGAGATGGTGAAGGACAACGAACAGGTACATGTGGGGGCTTCTTGATGCCCAGAGACACTCCCATGGTGCAATGTTTGCTACAGATATCCTGACTGAAACCCACTTAAAAGAGAACGAGACCCAACTCTGCTTCTGATTCCTGGATAGGTGAGGGTGTGCTGCTTGGCTGCAGTCTCAGGAGACGCTTTCCCTCCGGCTGGGAAGCCTGGAGAAGACTGTAGTGGATGCCTCTCGAGCTTAGTACTTTTCTTCCAGCACAGTGACAGATGTTTGTGGGAAGCATGTACCAGGCTGGGCAAGTAGGGGGTCATGGGTGCTGTTTTGACTGTGTATCCCAGTATCCCAAACTCTCTGAGCCAGAGATTCAGCAGGAGCATCCTTTTGGATCTGTCCTCTATAGCATTCTTTGAAGCCAGTAGAAGATCAAACGTTTGGCCAAGAAACGTCAGCGCAGTTGTGTTTCCTCTCAGCTGGGCAGGTCAGGGTATCACAGTGAGCCTGCAGGAGCACAGAGGCACACCTGTAATCTGCAGAGATGCTGGTGGAACCACATCTTTTCAGTCCCATTGTTTGTTATCCAGTGCCTTGAAAACCTGTGCTGATGGTTGAGCTGGGGTTAATGGCAAAGTGGCTCCTGGGAAAAATAAGTTTTACGAGACAAACGTGAGTCATGAGCAGGTTGGTTTGTGGTGTGTTGCTCAGGTAGGTGCTCTAAGTAATTTTCTTCTTTTCCCTAGGCTTTGTATGAACTGGTGAAGTGCAATTTCAATGCAGAAGAGGCGCTGCGGAGGTTACGGTTCAATGTGAAGGTTATCAGAGGTGAGAACCCTTCCCATATTTAGATTTTACCCTGAACATCAAAGCACATGTAAGTCTAGATTCTGTACATCTTCAATTCATCTTTCTTCCTGCCATAGATGAGCTTTGTGCCTGGAGTGAGGAAGAATGTAGAAATTTTGAACATGGCTTCAGGGTGCACGGGAAAAACTTCCATCTTATCCAGGCGAACAAGGTGAGGAGGCCCAGCCCCGCGCCGCTACGGCCAAGGGAGGGGGCGCGTCGGGAGCCTCGGCTGATGCAGGACATCCAGGACCTCTGGGTTCCCACCCCAGGCTTTGTGTTGACTCACGCTCGCAGGTGATGGGCTGTTCACTGCCCTGCTCTGCCTTATTTTCCAGGTGGGAGAAGTCACAAACACCACTGACCTGCATGAGTGATGTCAGTTAATTACTGATTAGCCCTTTCTGGAGTCTCAAAAGTTCTTTCCAAACTCTCAGCCCTTGCAGTACTTCTGTGAATGAGTGAGTTGAGCATGTGGATGTTTTGTAAAGTCCCCTGGGGTCCTCTAGAATGAAAGGTGCTGTTGTAGGGAGAGCTGGGCCCCAGGACATATGCTGCTGTGCTGGGAGTTGGCAGAACCAGAGAGTCCAGTTCTACCGCGCATTAATTGTGGGCATGTTGGCACTGGCCAGTGGAAATGGATGCAGGTTTGCTCTCTTGGTGTTCAGTGTGCTGCTGGGCGTGCAGGAAAGTCCTGCAGGAGTGTACCGAGTGTGAACCCACACCGGGGTCTGCAGGAGCCGTTGTGCGCTGTGGGGAGTTCTTTCTCTGGCCAGTTACCACCTTGGAAATCTCAGTATGTGCTTCTGTTCTGCAGCATAGATGTGTCCGTAGCAATATAAATTACTGTAATGCACTTCATTTTCTGTGCTGATTAAATGGGAGAATAGTCCTTGCTCCATAAGGCACCTCTCGATGCGTGGCCTTCTGACTGTGGTGTGTCTCCTCAGGTCCGCACCCGGTCGGTGGGCGAGTGTGTGGAGTATTACTACATGTGGAAAAAATCGGAGCGCTATGACTACTTCACTCAGCAGACCCGTCTAGGAAGGAAGAAGTACGTCCTCCACCCTGGAGCCACGTGCGTGGAATATTCTCACACTAAAATTAGTAATATTAACCTCCCTGTTAAGGTTCCTGCTGTAAAGCACCTGTGCTTAAAAGACTGTGATTTCTGCTCTGGGATGTTTCTTTGGTGGGAACGTGGAGGGGTCAGTGGGTGTTCTCAGCATGTGAATGCTGCTGGTGCGGGGAGGGAATATAAGGCAATTATTTGCTTGGATGTGGACTTTCTTGTTTCGGAAAATACTGGTTTGTTTCAGACAAATGCATCTGCAGAAATGAAGGCCAGGGTCAGGGATTCAGAGCTCATCTCGGGAAATAGCTCAATTCAGTGAGGTTTTGGGAAGGAAGCATTTTAAGTTCAAAAATACACTATTTCTGGTGTTTTGGAACCTGAATTAATTTCTTTCCCTGCTGCCACCCTTTGAGGCAAATTCTTCACACTGAAATGTATGCTAATTACAGAAAATACTTTTCAAAAAGGTTGAAACTGAAATATTTTAAAAGGTCAAAATGAAATACTTAAATTGAATCAATTAAAAACGTTAGATGAAGTATTAGATTTTTACTTTTTTTTAATTCTGATGCAAGACAGGAAAATACCTGAAATCTCAAATCCCCCCAGGGTGGGAAAGTATTTTCTCAGCGCTTGCTCTTTGCTGGCACACTAACATTGTCACAACCTGCTGCAGCTGCTCTGGGAAGCTGTTCCCCAGGGAGAACATTTGACCATTTATTTCCTCACGGAGGGGGCTGAGGTCAGAGCTCTTTGTTTTGGAAAGACAGAGCCTGTTCTGGTTTATCCTGGGATGGGCTTGGCCCCGCAGAGTTACCTGCGATCGCCTCGGTGCGGAGCCCATGCTGGGGACTGACATTCCTTCTGGTGAGGTCCCTGCAGTCCTGTTGCTTTATTTGTTAACAGGTTTTAATCTGTCCCCCTTCTCCCTGCCTGTGTCTCCCTGCTCCACAGGTGGTGGCACTGCTCTCTGTCTTTCCCACAGGGATTACGCTGACAACGACTTGGATGGGGGTGAAGTAGAAAACACCAGTCGTTCCCGGGGCTCCCCACCCATCCCGTCTGCAGCCAGCTGCCTGGACCCTCACTTTGGGCAGGACCAGCTCACAATGGAGAGCACAGGTAACAGCCCTTCCTTCTCTCCCTCGCTCAGCAGCCGTTATCCAGCTGCTGTTCTTCTCCCCGTGCTTGCCCGTGGGCTCCCTTTGTCCTGGGCAGGTTTTGGTGTGGGCAAAGGAGACTTCTGTTCCTGGGAACCGCTTTCGGAGCGAGCTGGGACTCACAGGGAGCTGGAATGGGTTCATTCCCTCATCGTCCTGCCCTAATGAGGGCTTTGTGTAGGCACCTCCCAGGGGCTGTCAGCATGAGGGGGTAGGACTTAGGATTTGGCTTATCTTGGAGTGTCTCTGTGAGATTTCCTTTAATTTCCATAGAAACACTGATGGCCTCCCATCTGCTGTCTGCATCTTGCCTTTCTTTACTACATGCTGGCAGGGATCTTGGTTGCTATAATAAAGAAACATTTGTGCCATCAAACAAATACTGTTGTGATTAGGTGGGATTGAACTGGATTCTGGTTTTTTGTGTTGTGGACTCACTCTAGCTTTCTTTCACTTACTGTCCCCCACTTCCTCCCTCCCTGTCTGTCTTTGTCTCCCCTGCGGCGCAGAGCCCCTGAGCGTGGAGAGCACAGCCTGCAGCCTGGGCAGCATGAGCGAGTCGGGGCAGGGCTATGAGTGCAGCACTCCTTCCGAGACAAATTGCTCCTTCGACCCCGCCGAGGAGACGTCCTCAGGCGCCATCTCCGCTCCCTGCACGCGACACACTGTCCCCCCCTCGGACGCGGGGCTCTATGCTCTGCCGCCCGCAGGACCAGGACTGGCTGAGAGGCAGGAGACGTTGCAGAGCTCTGGTGAGACGATAACCATGGACTTCACTCTCCCTGCAGACATTAACGAGGGTTTGCCTTTAATTGCTGGCCCTGTGGATTTGGACAGAGACCCAGAGGCAGTGGTGGCCCCTGCGCAAGTGTCCTTATCGGTCACAGATTTTGGCCTCATTGGCATCGGAGATGTAAATAGTTTTCTGACTGCTCACCAAGCTTGCCCAGCGCCCGTGGCTCGGTCGGAGCCGCTGTCACAGTGAGAGTCTCCAGTCATAAACTTGTCACAGACCCAGCGAGGACTTTGGCCTGACTGAGGGAAATCCTGGAACTTCCGCTGTTCCGCAAGGGACGGTTTGGAGCTGTTGGTCAGAATCCGTCTTTCCATCCTCCTTGATCCAAGGCTACCGTGAAACTAAACACCTTCCTGCTCCAGTGTGTTCCGACACGATCACACCACGCTGGGGCTGGCTCTAGTGAGGGGGGAGGTCTGTCACCCCCGTTCTGTTGTGTCACCCCAGGTAATGCCAGGCTGTTGGCAGAGTCCCTGCCCCTCGGGACAGGGGGATGTCCCGTGGCCCCAGAGGGACAGTCTGAGAACAGCAATGCTCTGAGGACAGGGTCGTGTCACTGGGGCGGGGGGAGCAGTCTGGAGGTCTGAGTTGATCCGCAGGGAGCGCAGCCCACCCAGCCACGGGGCAGTTGGCCTGCAGTGATGGGATGGCCATGCCAAAGGAAGATGGCTCTTGGCCCTTGGCCCACAGGTGGTGTGTGGCAACAGGAGTCACCTCCCCGTTCCTTCCCGGCAGCCGCCCCGCGCTGCGGGCTGTGACGGCGCCCACGCTGCTGTTGTCACCTCGCAGCTTGGCGCCTTTGCCCACTCTGCCTGCTGCAGGTGCCTGGTCCAGCCCTTCGGGCCTCAGGGGGCACCCTGCCTGGGGAGCACTGCGTGCACTCGAGTCCTCACCATCCCTTGGAGTTGTTCTGGGAGTGAAGGGAGTTTCTAGACCCACAGAGCGATGCTGGCCCTCAGGGTGGTGCCGCTTCTCTCACCGCCCGTGAGTGACTGATCCCTGCTGACGGCTGCAGTACAAGGGGACAAAATCCAGATGAAAACATCTGTAGGTTCCCAGCTCGTTCAGACAATGTGGGAGGAGGAGGAGGAGGCTCAGCTGCCAGGGTGCCAGTGCCAGCGCAGTCCCAGGCAGGAGAGAGCACCAGTCCCTGGGCATCCCTGCCCCGCTCTGCGTCACAAAAAGCTCTCTGTTTTCTGAGAGGAAAGTGTGTCTTTACTGCCATTAGCAATGTCTCAAGGAGGTGACGATGGTGGCCCTGCATAGCAGCGAGGTGGCCACAGTGGCCTGTCTGGGTGTGCTGGAGCCCGGTGTGTTCCCGGGTGTGTTCGGGTCTGGGGTTTGCCACTGCCCTCCAGCCACATCCCCTGTTCCCACACAGGCTGCTGCAGGGGTCCCTTCCTCCCTGCACTTGGAAGGGGTCTGGATTGAGGATTTTTGCTTGTTTTGGTTGAACCCTCCGGGCTGTGACGCTGCTGTTGGTTCTGCTGCAAGTGGCTTTGGAAAATGGCTAAAACCATGAGCCCAGGTCCTCCTTGTACCCATCCCTGTGGAGCTGCGTTGAGCCCTGCAGTGGGAGCAAGGAGACAGCGTCGGGGCAGCTCCACAGGACGCAGGATCAGAACTTGTCTCTCATCTTCCAAGCCCCAGATCCATTCTGCTGCTGTAGCCGGGGTTTGCTGTGGTCCCGGCCAGCCCTGCCACAGGGTGCTGAGCTCTGGCCTTGGTCAGGCAGCGCTTGGTCAACCAGAGGTGGAGACGGAGTCTCCCCTCCAGCTGCTCCCAGCTGCTGTGAACGGAAGCAGATTCGAGTGCCCGCTCCATAGTGGAACTGCCCGGGCTGTGATTCCCCTTTTCTGGGGGGGAGAGGAAGCTCCTTGGCTGGAAGGAGAAGAGGAGGCGGCGAGAGAGCACGGGCAGCCCTCCCAGGGAGGGTCAGCCCTTGGCATCTCCTCTCCATCAGCCAAGAACATTCTTAGTTTTCCTGAAACCATTTTTTTCTTTGGTTTGTTTCAAGCCCTAGTGAAAGGAGAGGGGAGGCTGGGGGAGGCAGAAATGTCTCTTATTTATGTTCTTCAGTGTTGTTTACAGATTCGCATGGGGTCTTTCAAAATGAGTGTGGCGCTTTTTCCACATAACTGTAAGGGAGAGGGGTGGAAAGGGCTGGGACGGGAGGTCACTTGGGGAGGAGGTTTGGTTTTGGTTTTCTGTTGGGGTTTTCTTTTTCCTTCTTACAAAGCACATTCACTTTGAGCCACTCCCGATGCTGGACTTTTCCCCCCCCTCCCCTCCACCCCAAGCCCTACACTGTGAAGTGATACTGCCTTGAAGACCCCTTGACATTATTTATTTAATTAAAAACCTAATTTGAAAGTGAGCTGCAAGCCTGTGGTGTTTTTGGAGACTGAGATGCCGCCGTCCTGTGCAGTGCGATGGTGGAAGTGAGAAAAGGGGTCCTTGTCTTTTCTGTCTGATCCCCCCCAACCCTGGTGAGGGCTCCATCATGCCCCTCCTTGTGCCGGGGAAGCAGATGTTCATGGTGCCTGACAGAGGGGATGTGCAGGGCAGGGTGTGTGGCTCAGTGCTGATCTCGGGCCCATCCTCAGGGAGGTGGGGGACCCTGAGCCCTGCAGGGTCGTGTCCTCCCCTCTCGGGTGCCACGATGGCCTGTCAGAGCAGCCCCCGGGGTCCTGGTGCAGAAGCCAAGCTCAGTCTTGAGCACGGCTGCTTCTGCTTGTGAGGAGCATCTTCACCCTGGGATCAGCTTGTGCCCCCAGCCTGCCCTGCCAGAGTCAAGTCTGCTCCCCGTGGCCCCAGCGTGGCTGAGCTGCCCCGGTGGCTGCGGCTTCTGTCCTGGGGGACCCTGGGGCTGGTTCTTGGGGTCCCTCCTTTCTCCATTCCTGGCCCTGCCCACCTTCCCATGCTGTGTACCAGCAATGCCATCACAACCCGGGAGGAGGCTTGGCTTCCTCAGCTGCATTTACCCTCCCGGCGCTGTGTGTGGAGGGAAGGGAGGTGTTCACTGCTCTTACAGGTGCCCCGAGTCCTCTGGAACCCTGGCAGCCTCCGGAGAGCCCGTGGTGGTGGGAGGCGGGGGTCTGTCCATGTCTCACTGGCTTCAGCCAGAAATAACATCCTGGAGGCGAGAGAAACGTTCCTGCTGCAGCAGTGTTGTATGTTTCCAACAAGAAGGCTCGTTCCTCACCACAAAGCCCCTCTGTTTTGTCAGAAACCCCTTAAATTCTGTTCCCCAGCTCTTGCCTTCTGTCCCAGGACCTTGGGGTGGGATGGCAGGGTGTATTCTGTCTCCCTCGCTCGCAGCTGGAAAATGCCACCTGGAAAACCAGCAGGAAAGGGGTGATGTGCTCCTCTGGGAGCTCTCGGCGTTTGTGGCAGGGCAAGCGCCCGCAGGCGGAACCACAGCCGGGTGGGAGCGGGCAGAGCCAGGACCTGCAGGATTGCAGGGAACAGCCAGGTGAAGTTGGAGGAAACCTAACAAACAGGGCCCAAATTCCGCCAGCTCCCCCCATACCCCCCGGCAGCTGAGGGCAGGGGCTGCTTTCCTCCCTGTGACACCCCTGAGTGTGGCCCAGCCGAGGGACACCGTCCGGCCGGGCTGGGCCCTTCCAGGGTGGCTCCCGCTGCCCTGGCACCACCCGACCGCCACGGCACCACGTGGGGCAAAGTCCTGACACCGGTGGCCGCCCTGCAAGGCCATGCGTCACGGGCAGGGGAGACGCCACATTATCTCACCCTGCTCTGCTCCGGGCCAGCACGGAGCCACACGGGCCAACACTGCCCCGACGGGCCCCATCCTGTCCTCGCTGAGCCCCGTGCTGCCCCATCTGTGCCCCCACTGTGGCCCAGCCTGGAGCATCCACACCAGCCACAAGGGTGGCCAAGGACTGCTGGGGGCTGTGATGAAGGGGGGAGATGTATCAGCAGTGGGATAAAACCTGTCTGAAACCCCACATCCCCCCTCTGACAGCCCACAGGCACCAGCCAACCTCCCCTCCCACGGCGTCCCCACAGCCCTCCTCCCCTGGGGCTTTCACCCACCCACCACCGAGATTCAGGGCAGCACGTGGGGCAAATCCTGCCACGGCAGCGAGGCCAGGACCCCACGGCACCAACGGGCAGAAAGGAGGCTGTAGGAGATTGGATGTGATGGGATCAGAGCAGAGGAAAGCCACAAGTGCTTCTGCCCCTCTCCTTAAATCTAGGGCAGCCCAAGAGCATTTCCAGCCCTGCTGGCTTCCCACAACAGCCCTGACATTCTCCACAGGCCACTCACGCTGCACTTAAATAAACCAGCCCGGTAGCTATCATTTGGGTGGTTTCTGTATTATTTATGTTTCCTTCCGTTGCTGACCAAGAGTTGGGCCTGGAGCAAACGGCTGGGCTGTGGCCGTCCCCACTCCCACCAGGGACTCGCTGCAGGGACCCGGGCTTCAACCTCTGCTCCCGTCCCCGCTGCCGGTGCCACCGGCTCGGCACGTCCCCAGCCCCAGAGGGGAGCACCGGGAGCCTGTCCCGCTCCAGCCACCGCGGAGGCTCAGGAAAATACCACTTCAGTGGTTAAATCACAGCTTAAAACAAACACGCGCCTCGTTTTGTGTTTAAATGGGGATGCTCTGCTCCCCGCGGTCTGTCCACCACATTCAAAGACTCCCGGGGAACCCTCCTTCCCCCCAACACCCAGCATCGCGGCTGGGCCAGACCCGTATCTGCTGCCGGTGCAGCCAGTGCATTTCTGTGGCCGCGTTCTTCCACTCTCAGATTTCTCTTGTTTTTCCCCTTATTTTCCTCAGGAAAGCAGCCCGGGGCTGCCGGGACACAGGCGGCTCCCACAGGCGGCCTCACTCCTTCCCTTCTCCCCCTTCTCCTCGCCGCAGCGGAGCCGGGGCGGGGGACCCGGGGGGACCGGACCGAGGACGCTGCAGTGGGGACCGAGGACCGGGAAAGCGGCGAGGGGCGAGGACGATCCGGGCCCGAGCCGCCCCCGGAGGGGGACCCACGGCCCCCCGGCTCCCGCCC